AAGGATTTACTGAAAAAAGAAAACAAGGCGAATGGCTCCACATTTGACTGTTTCCCACTCTTGTTGGCTTTCATACATACATCTATGTATTCCTGCACTTGTCAATTTTTCGATATGAGCCTAAAATATGCTAAATTGTCATAATAAATATATTTCTCCTTCCCTGGGAAGAAACAGGAGAAAAAAGGGGAAATATTAAGATGCATTCCACTCTTTAGGTAAAGAAAGCTCAGAAAACTCCCACCTAAAAAGAATGAAAATATGACCATCAATAACTCAGGTTAAAAAACCAAAAGACACAACAAGACAAAACAAAACCCAAAAAACTAAAAACAGAAGTGGGAAGGAAGATGTTCACAAGTAAAATCTCCTAGGGGCCCCTGGGTGGCTCAGTTAAGCATCTGACTCTTGATTTCAGCTCAGGTCGTGGGATGGAGCCCCTGTGTTAAGCCCCACTTGCAGCAAGGAGTCTGTTTGGGATTCTCTCCCTCTGCCCCTCCCCACCCCTACACTCTCTAAAATAAATCTTTAACACAGTTCAAATGCCAAAGATTTCAAAATACCAGGATTTAAAAAAAAAAAAAAAAAAAACAGATTCTCAATGTGCTTCATTAAGTACTTACCCACCTCCTCCCCCCAAAAGAAAACACTTCTTAAGGACTGGGGGGAAAATATTAAATCACAGAATTAGAAATTCTTAGGAAATTTTTTTAAATTATTTTTATTTCATTCAACATTGAATTACTTCTTCTCTCAGCCTTTAAAATTAATAGGGAGGGTGGTGCACACAGAGGCAAGCTGGGATAGCCTACAGCTACCTGTAAAACACAGTTTATTCCATTCAACCATGCAGGATTCAGATTTTAAACTAAAAACAGCAGTCATATGTAATTATACATTTAACTCTCCCATCCTTCTATAGAAAAACATATAAAATACAAAAAAAAAAGGTAGTATTGGGTTAGAAACCTTTAGAATGCTAAAATCCAGATGGACCATGAGGTATGACAGACCTTAAAATCACTAGAACTACCTCAAAATAAATCAACAGGGCCCCCATATGAGAACTATGAATACAAACGTAGTAAAACTACTGGTGAGCAAGGAAGGGAGGAAAGGAGCCTGCAGGTCACTCAAACCCAACTAGGATAAGCCACAGCAGATCCCAGTGCAGCATATCTAGAGTCTTGTACTACACGGCGATTCGAGGATGGGCGTACAGCAGGCCCCCTTCCCCACAGATTCACTCTCCATGGCCTGTCACCCACAGCCAACTGCGGCCTGGAAGCAAAGGTCAACAGTAGCCTAACACTACGTCACAGTGCCTACGTCATTCGCCTGACTTCACCTCCACACATGGACGTTTCACCATCTCCCATCATCACAAGAAGGGGGGAGGATGGCACACTAAGATCCTCTGAGAGACCATATTCATTGAACTTTTATTACAGTATACTGTTCCATTTGTTCTATTATTAGTTGTTGCTAATCTCTTACTGTGCCTGATTTATAAATTATTTTATCATAAGTATGTCTGTATAGGAAAAAACGTAGTACACAGAGGAATCAGTATTAGCTGCGGTTTCGGGCATCCACTGGGGGTCTTGGAAATGTATCCTCTGCAGCTACGGTGGGACTGCTGTATTAGCAAAGCTCTCCCTGAAGCTTGCAGCCAAATGCGTGTTAAACTACTTGTTACTTCTCCTGTCAAAGCTTCTTTTACAAACTTTTTTTAAAAGTAGGCTCCATGCCCAGCGTGGAGCTCGATGCAGGGCTTGAACTCACAACCCTGAGATCAAGACCTGAGCTGGGGGCACCTGGGTGGCTCAGTCAGCTAGGTGACCAACTCTTAGTTTGGTTCAGGTCATGATCTCAGGGTTGTGAGATGGAGCCCCCATGCTGGGCTCCACATTGGGCTCTACACTGGGCATGGAGCCTGCTTGGGATTCTTTCTCTCCCTCTCCCTCTGCCCCTCCCCACCCTTCTCTCTCCCTCTCTAAAAAATAAAATGACCTGAGCTGAAATCGGGAGTCAGATGCTTAACCAACTGAGCCACCCAGGCACCCCTAGAGTCAAAACTTTTATTAAAACACAGAGAAATTGTACACTTTACAATTTCATTGTGAGAATTTTTTTCAAACTTCCACATACAAAGTGTATGCAGCTGATGCTAAGAAAGATCGTGTTTTTCTCTGAACCAAAGCTGTCCCTCTCCTGATGAAAACTGGCCCCAGGGGCATCATTTGCCAGAACTAGGCACTCCTCCATTCTTTTCTGAGATCAGCTTTTCGCAGACCTAAGTAACTGTCTCTGGTCCAAAAGAGATCTTGGGGAAGCCATCCTTGGCCCACTCCCCACTGAACCAATGAAAAACTGTGCTCTGGAGACCTGGGATGCAGGCCTGGAGGAGGACCGTGGTCTCAACTGCTGGTCCCACTGACTCCCTCGTTCATTTTGGTAAAGGTCAGAGGACTCAAGCCACACACTCCCTTTATACATTCAGTCTACCCACTTGTATGCTGAACCCTGGACTTGACTTTAATAGTCTACACTGCAATTTTGTGACTCACACACTAAGGCTGAATCTTAGAAACTCCTCTCTGCCCCCACTGAAAACTAGGAGGAACCATAAAGCCAGCTCTGTTAAGACTTACCCAGATGGGCTGAATCACACCTACCAACTTCCCAAATCTCATTCTACAACCAGAACTGAAAGTTAGGGTTAGGGTTAGTAAAAAGAATAAATTCCTCTTCCTCCTCTTGCTCATGCCTGCACCCAGCTTATCCCAACAATACCTGCAGACTGGGGAAAACACTTCAAATAAACCAGGAAAAGGGAGGAATCTTTTTTTTAATTTTTAAGGTAAGATGTGACAGAACTGCCAACTGCTGACATATCACTCTGCAATTCTAAATCTCTCTCTTGATACCATCTACAAAGTTCTAGGCTTTGGTGGCTAACCTACACTGTGTGAACTCAAAAGTAGGACATCGTCCTAAATTTTACCTCAACACTGACCACAGGCTCAGGTTCAGTGTGGTTCAAGCCATTACTTCTACTTCCATGCTCTCTGTTGACACCAGCCAGATTTGGGTCACCCGCACTAATCTCATTAGGTTCATCAGGCTTAAAGCCTAGGTTGTGTTTGTGGACTACGGTGAACTGTGGTAAATACCACAAAAGGAGCTCCTCATACCAAACCTTGTAAAATACTCCTTAAAGAAAAACTTCTCTAGAGTCACTTTGGTTATAGCAAAACTGCTTCCTGTCCAACACCATATTACATTCTAGAGAGTACCCTTGAAGAAAATACAAGTTTTTAAATCAATGAATGTGAATTACTGAATCACTGAATCTTCATTTCAAAGAAAATGGTGAAATGTGTGTTTAGACTTCAATTTCCCTCAGGAAAAACAGGATGAAAATCATAATCTGAAAACCTAAAGGAGCTGGACTCAATACCACCACCAAGCTGAAAAAGAAATAGTAAAGGAACTTGTTACTTACTTTACAAAGTACTAGAAGCCTATCTTAAGCAGTGCCCTCCTGAATTTTCAGGATACAAAAACCGTGTCCTAAACTTTTCAGATCTAGAAATTCTAGAGAATGTCAGCTGATCTGAAGAACCTATGCGGGGCTTTCTAACGTTGTGGCTGCTTTTTCTAGCAGCTCATACTGATCCCAACAAGTACCCAGTGAGTGAGGCACTTCAGCCAACATCATCATCCCCATTTTGCAGGTCAGAACAAGAGAGATCAATTAGCTGAGAAGTCACAAAGTTAGGAGGGACCTGCAAGGACTCAAATCTGATGTTCCCCCATCAGAATCAGACTTGAACTTGTAGGCACGTATGTAAGGCCAAAGTACAAGTCTGAGGGCTACATCAAGCCCATGTCGCCTGAGATACATAGTAAAATGCAGATTTTCAATCTTCCGACTCAATTTCTGGAGATGGACTTCAGAAATACGTCAGTCAAGTTCCCCAGGTGATTCTGAAGCCCATTAGTTTGAGGACCACCAGCCTGAGTGAATCATAAATCCCAATCCAGCCAGAGAACCCATGTGTTTACCTTTCCTCAAGCAAAAAAGAACTCGCCAAGCAAACCAAACAGCTTATTCAAGTTAACTGCACCAAGTGACCTAACCTGAACTAGTCCTATCAAGACTTTATAGGCCTCAGCCTAAAGAACAAGGTCAATAGACTTAGGCCAGAGGTACACAGAGGATCAGCTTCACTCCTTCCAAGGTAACTTCTTAGTTGACGTTACCCTATATATAGTATCTTCACCAACTCCAAGCATGCCTGGAGGTATCTTCTTGTAGACTGCCAACACATGGGGTGTCAAATTCCTTCTGAAGGTGCACAACATTTCAAGAAAGGTATCATACCACTAATTTCTAGGGGAAGTAACGTGGATTTAACCCTAGGCAAAATCATCAAGTTGGGTTTACAGAGCATCCATAAGTGTGGCAAGAACCCTAAAGATCATACAGAAACTACCTCCTACCCATTTAACTTTATTTCATACTGAAAATGGCAGCAAGTCTCCTTTTGAACTCATTTCTTATAGCATAGGATTTTAAAAGGGAGGGGGAAATGATGACAATTTCAGGTTATTTCATAGATTCAGACTGTGTTCACTGCCTTTGAAACATACTTTCAGGGGAGGGGGGGGAAAAAGTATCTCCCCATGGTACCCAGCAAGCACTGTCCTGCTGCAGTTCTCAGGAGGAATCCGCCTGAAAAGGCTTCAAGGCTGCGGGGCCAAGCCTTGGACTTCTCAAAGACCTCTCACAGTAACATGAGAATGTCTAACAGCAGGAGACTGAGAAATGTGAAGAACAGAGAAAAAAGGAACAGGCTTAGAAATAAGTACATTTGAAAAAACAGTGAAAGACTGAAAAGATCACTCTGAATTTAAGAAAGAAGAATCGGTACCTTACCATTTGAACCTAAAAGAATATACCCAGGACAAGACAAATTTCAGAAGACATGACACTCTTGAAATACAGAATTTTATTTAGAAACTGTTTAAAGTAGAAAAAAACCCTGTCAAGAAAGACCAGGTGGAAAATGGGTTCCCAATAAAATGGAATTTTAGGGCAACAAAAGTCTAAAAGGCCACAAAAGAGAAATAGCACCACTGTTATTTGAACAATGGCTAGTTACTTGCATTTTTTGGCATTGTTAATTACTGAATCTGGGTTTTCCTCTGAATTCCACACAGAGCATGCACTACACAACAATTTTATCATAAAATATCTGCTTTCTACACACATTTTAGGACAAGCTACCACCAGGAACAAATCAATACAAATACATCAGGGACTGAACAATCTCAGTAGTGGGTGACACACATTTTGCAGAATTCTGCCAAACAAAGGAACTGAATAGGCTAGGGGCAAAGCAAATGAGGAAGAGTTAAGGAATGAAATATTTTAAATATTAATAATTAATTCAGACACGGTACTGTATCTTCTGCAAAAGAAAATTAACATTTAGTAACACGCTAACGAATTTTATCTCCAAAGAGATTAGTGCACTGGCAAAGTATTCTGATAACAGTGGAGGGCGGTGGACAGCAGGTACCGAGAACACCCAGCCTTGCAGATCCCAAGGTAGCGATGGCCTTCAATGGTCACTCCCTTTGCCAGAAGTCCAGAAAGAACTTGCAGCGTGACCACCTGCCTGCTGAACTTACACTCTAAGCAGCAAACTTTAAGGAGCCAAAGAGGAGTCCCCAGTGGGCGAGGGGAGCAGAGAAGAGAAACATGTTCAATGTAAACTTAAAAGACAGTAAAATGGGACACGACCCCCATTCAAATCCCAGAGATGTGGGCAAGTCCCCAAAAGTAGTTGTTAGATTTAAAAACTGGACATACCTCATTCCCCAAGAAACACAATACATAGAAATTTCAGGGATAACTGGAAAAAATCGTCAGAGAAATGTTCAATGAAATTCAAGCTCTTCAACTCAAACATCCCAGGGCTGAAACACACCCTCTGTTCATCCAGGCAACAATGCCTCTTACTTCTTAGAGCAGGGATACTATTGGTCAAGGACACCAAATGGCTTTACAGAGCAACTTTTTAAACTTTCCTTTTGGGCCAAGGTCTAGGTCTTTGAGGATTCAAGCAGCCCTGCAAGGCCTGTGAACAGCAGATTCCGAAGGTCCAGAGGTCTGGCCCTTCTTCCTTCCCAGATACAATGTCAAACATGTAAAATCTCCTGTCATGTTACATTTTATATTTTGAAATATGGAAGCATATTTTAAATACTCTTAAGGCATTTATTTATTAAAACGTTCTCTGCCAAGATTTCACATTAGCTTAAAATTCAAATCAGTCTTTACATTTCTCTACTGAGGTTTCCACCTCAGAGTATCACATAAAAACACCTTCTCCAGCAATCAGTGTTACCAGCGTCCACACGGTGAGCCCCATGGTCAGCCTCTTTGTTCCCTAGGTGACCCAACTAGATGTTAATACTGCTCTGCTATAGGGTAAAAGCTCCTAACTCAAACTCATTGGAAAAGGGGTGAAACTTCTGCAAAGTGCACTTTAAGAAGAGGTACTGTTTGCTCATGAAAAGAAACCAGTGAGTCCTCTAAGAATAATAAAAGGGGGTATTTTACAGTTAAGCACATGATTTGGAGTGAAGAATTCGGATGTTGCTCTGCTGGTCCAGGCCATTAATACTCTTCTTGTTCCTCCTGGGGGCCCCCTTCATCAGGTATCACAAAGCCTTCCTAAAACGGGAAAACAAGAGGGGAAAGCTATTACTCAGCACCAAATGAAGGATCAGTTTTTACTGTGGGGCCACTTTCCTCATATTTACAGCCTCTCAAAGTCAACGGCTCTTCCTGTCTCTACCACACACTTGACGTTTAATAGCACAAGGCCACGTGACCACCACTTTATCAGACAGTGGAAACATCTCACAAAAGGCAAAAACTAAGCATAAATTTACCCTCAAAAGTTGATCTCTTAAATATGTCTTGATTATGATGACGATTTCACACATCATCAAGTTGTACTTAAATAGGTACAGTTCATTACATCAATTCTACCTCAGTAAGGTTGTTAAAATATATATATATATATATATACCCTCAAAAATCCCTGAAGTCATCATGAAAGTTCAGTACCATGCCATCTCCTCTCAATAAACTGTCTATACAGCCAGCTTTTCTTTACGCCCTCCTCTGATCGCACTTAAGGACCATGCATGCCATTGTGGGTGTTGTGGGTTTACCCAAAATATTCACAATACCCACGGTAGCCACCAAGACTGATCCAACATTAGTGGCATGGGAATACAGCCGACTCGCAGCTCCCACCTCACACTCCCTCTAGGGCATTCTGGCATCTAGTAACGGCTACACACCATAAAAATCAGACTTTCCCTTCGACCACCATCTTATTTTTTTTCAACTAAATCTCTATAGCTGAATTTACTTAAGATAGGACTCCACTAAAATAATACTCAGACTAGACCAAGTATCTTCATCATCTTTGTTTTCATTGAAGCTGGCAAAGAGCAGCCCAGAATAAGGGTTTACTGAACAAAGTATCATCTTTTCAATCATCCGTCTTCATCCCCTGAAATTCACTTGGTATATTTAGAGAACAGTGTTAATGACAATATTAATATTTCCTTATATTTGTATACTGCTATACAGACTATAAAACACTTAAGAAGTAACACTGTAGCTTGATCCTACAGACCTTACTAGGTGTGCAGATTTATAAATAAGCAAAGCCATTAAACAATGGACATAGCAAGATACCAAATCCTAAATGTAGGGAAAATCAGTCTCCCCTGATCAGCTAGCATGTCATGATTAATACCAGCAGATTCAGCTGTGTAATAATATACATGGATCCCGGGCAACTTGACCATAAAGTACTGTGAGGAAGTGGGAACCAGGCACACTCCTGGGGAGGAAGAACAAAAGATACAATCTGACAGCTACAGGCAGGGGACATCAAAAAGGGGCCAGGAACCTGGTTCCCAGGTCATGCCTGGGGCCCTGATAAAATGGAGCTAAGAGGTCCAAGTTGCAGGGGGTAGAGATGGTGGGGTTAAGAGCATTTTGTGGCACTCATCACCTATCAGTGGACATAAACCACAGAAGCAGGGCAAGCCAGCCACCTCCTTGTCCTATTCCTGCCTCAAAGGCTCACAGACCTCAAAGCAGAGGCTGAGGCTGAGCAGAGGTGACCTCTGGATGACTTTGACAGGGCAAAGTGAAAGTCTTTTGATGAATGCTATCCTGGAACACGACAAGCACCAGCACTGAGTTTGCTAAAACCAACCAGATAAAATTTACTTTGTCTTAGATGGCAAAATGGCAAGAAAATATCCTCATGTCCACACGTACATCTGTGGCATACAGAATGTCCACGATCCTCTGCAATACTGGGTTGTTTTCCCCCTCGTTCTCCTGGCAAATCAATTCAATGTTCCTTAGCTTTCCAAAGTAGAAATCTCTTTCTTTCTCCAAGTCTTCGACGGTAAGTTTCAATACGTTGACCTGCATAAGACATTGTAAAGGGTGAGATACTCCGCGTTTATGTATCAATACCATATCAGACAAACTGTTAAGCCAAACGGAGACATGGTCTTCCATCACACTCTCTACCATGGACCAAAACCCACTTTTGTTTAATATCAGTTTTCTTCAGCTCCAGATAAATAACGTAGGCTTGTTTGTGGCCACCTTGACTATAACACCTCCCAGGAAGAGGCAGGCTACACCAGGAATCATGAGGAACTTCTCAGGGTTTGAGAAAAGATCAAGGAGAAAAAACTCTGGGATCCTGAGACAAATACAGATGCAGAACCCACAACCCAGCCCAGCAAAGTGGCTGACAAGCATAAACCAAGTCCTTACCAGGGCACTGGTCAGTGAAATCCAGTCTTTCTGCCCGTGGAGGTCAATGGAAAGAGAGGGTCTGGTCTAAAGAAGCAGGATAGAAATGCCAAGGCAGGAGAGGAAGACTGACTAAAGATGACTACTGTTAGCCAAAGACAGCTAGAAGTGAGAGCGACCTGGGCATGGAGAACTCAGTGGTTCACACGGGGCCGCCTTATATTGGGGATGGGGGGAGTAACCCATGACTCAAAAGAAGAGGAGAAGGTCCTGGCCTGGTCTCTCTCCCAAGAGAGTTTCAAAAGGGAGAGAAGACACAGAGGCAGGCAGCAGACCCAGCACGTTCCACCAAGCATCTCGTCAGCTCACCACTCGTGCTAAAGGATCCTCCAGGCACCCCGCTGAGGGGCTCTAATTCCCATAACAGGCCAGTGAAGAAATAAATCTCAGTGCTTAGGCCAGGACTCTTATCTAGCCAAGAGTAATCAATGTCATAAGAACTCTCATGGCCCTTTGTGTATTTTAAGCACAGAGCACATCTTCATTCCAGTATATTCAACTCTATGACATGTGAATTTGATTTAACTCTCACTGAAATACAAATTACATGGCATACCATGCAGCATAAAATCCTCACGGGACAGAGTCTGGGGCCACAGGGAAGGCCAAGCCAGGAAATCAAAGGTGCAGCTACTGAGAACAATTTGGGAAGCAGGGAATTCTGAGAGCCAAAAAGGCACCACAGACTAGTCCAACCTTCTGAACTAGTGGCAAAAACTGAAGCAAACAGCTTCTTTAGTTCCCCCACGGCCTCACAAAGAAGCGAGACATAGCCAAAAGGATCAAGTCCTGTGCCAGGGCGGAAGAACACTCCCCCTTCATAAGCTGCAGTCGAGAAGCATCCAGAGATGAGAACAGGTGTCCAGAACCACGAGGACCATTCTGTCAATTACTTAATTTCAATGTTCATCATCAAAGGCCTGAACCAACCAAACCAGAATCAAGGTTCTAAAAAGACTTTCAACCCTTCCTTTATCAACCACAGAAATCACCTTTTACAAATAACTGAGAATTTCAATAAAATATACTATAAACAAATAAACATATATATATATACACACACACACACACACACACATAAATACACACACATAAACTATCAGTCCCAAAGTGGAGTATGAGAGAGGACAGAAGGGCAAGAGCTGGGGTACCTGGGTGGCTCAGTCAGTTAAGTGTCTGACTTGATTTCAGCTCAGGCCATGGTCTCAGGGTAGTGAGATCAAGCCCCGCACTGGGCTCTGCGTGGAGTCCGCTTCAGATCCCCTCTCTCCCTCTGCCCCTCCCCCAGCTCACACTCACACTCTCGTTAAAATAAATAAATAAATCTTTTGGGGGGGGCAAGAGCTGACCAACCCCAGCAGTAGGAAGCTGCCTTAAATCTTGAGTTCTAAGATCCAAGAGCCAGGGAAGAGGCCTTCTAATCCCATTAGTGACTTAGGAGTAAAGGGAGGTCAAAACAGCTTACTACACTTTGGAGTCCATCATTCATGGTTCACAAACCCACTCCAACTTCCTTGTCCTACACATCATCAAGGGCACCAGAACCCAGCTTTCTGGGCCCCACCTGAGGGGCCAAAGCAGCATTCCTCCGTGATATCATTCAATAAGTACGCATCTACAAGAAACAATTAGTATACACTAATAAGTCACCGGCTTTCACTCCCCACTCCTCTAAATGCTTACCTATGAGGTTATTAAAACTCTGTGGCTAGTAATCAGTGCCACTCTTAAACTTTCTCTTGTAGTAAAGTAATAGCTATAACCTAGGAAACCCAAGGAGAATGCTTTGGACCTGCACTGGCCAGCAGAGTAGCTAGGAGCCACAAGCGGCTATTTGGGTACTTGAAATGTGGCCAATGCAATTGAGACAGGCAGTAAATATTAAATACACACTGGATTTCAAAAACCTTGTCTTCAAGCATAAAGTAGCTCATTGATGATTATCTGTATTGATTACATGTTAAAATGATAACACTTTGGATGCACTGGGTAACGGGTTATTAGAAGAAATTTCATGTGTTTCTTTTCACTTTTTTTTTTTAACGTGGCTACTAGAAAATTTTAAATTATGTTATGTGCCTCACATTTCTGGTTTGCATTCTATTTCTTTTGAACAGTACTGCTCTGGACTCAAATCAACTCAAAGTAAACTTCTCCAGGATGCCTTAAGACTGCAGAATCGCTGCAGATCTCCTAAAGAAACGGACACCATGAGGTAACCCGTGTAGAAATACACTGCTGTCCTCTTGCCCTAAGAAGCCTGTCTGGCTCTATTCCCCACATCAGTCATGTCTCCCAGACCTCCACACCTTTGTCAAGGGCCACAAATTCAAATACTTCCAAGGGGCCAGAGAAATAAGGTAAATGAGCCAAGGGAGTCAGTACCAGGGTGTTACAGGTAAGGACTCTGGCAACCTGGAGAGAACCTTTAAAAATCCTTTATATTAAAAAAAAAAAGGAAACCCTGCACAAGCCCAAGTACTCCAGAGGCAGGGCTGGGGCAGCTGGCTCAACCCTCCAGGCAGGTCATTTAACCTCCCCAGACACACTGTCCCTATCTGTGAGACCTCACAGGGCTAATGCAAAAGTGAAGTACTCACTAGAACAATGGCAAACCACTCTAAAAACGTCCATTATTTTTATTTTTATTATTAACATCTGTGAAGACAATTGGACTCCCGTGAACTTTTTTTTTTGAAGATTTTATTTATTTATTTGACAGAGAGAGACACAGTGAGAGAGGGAACACAAGCAGGGGGAGGGGGAGAGGGAGAAGCAGGCTTCCCGCGGAGCAGGGAGCCCGATGCGGGGCTGGATCCCAGGACCCTGAGATCATGACCTGAGCCGAAGGCAGACGCTTAACGACTGAGCCACCCAGGCGCCCCTGGACTCCCGTGAACTTTTAAAAAGATACTTCAGGTGGGCGCCTGGGTGGCTCAGTTGGTTAAGAGACTGCCTTCGGCTCAGGTCATGATCCTGGAGTCCCTGGATCGAGTCCCGCATCAGGCTCCCTGCTCGGCAGGGAGTCTGCTTCTCCCTCCGACCCTCCCCCTTTTCATGCTCTCTCTCTCTCTCTCACTCTCTCTCAAATAAATAAATAAAATCTTTAAAAAAAAAAAAAAAAGATACTTCAGAATCTATTTTGCTCTATCAAGACCACGGACAAGGGCGCCTGGGTGGCTCAGTTGGTTAAGCGACTGCCTTCAGCTCAGTTCATGATCCTGGAGTCCCGGGATCGAGTCCCACATCGGGCTCCCTGCTCAGCGGGGGGTCTGCTTCTCCCTCTGATCCCCTTCCCTCTCGTGCTCTCTGTCTCTCATTCTCTCTCTCAAATAAATAAATAAAATCTTTAAAAAAAAAAGACCACGGACAAGAACTGTAATAATCACAACTGTCTTTTATCCACTGCCATTTTCCCCTTTTATCCCAGATACCACTCTCCAGGGACCTGACATGACATCAGCTCATGTAATCCGCTCAACTACCACGAGCAAAGTATTAGCCCCACTTCACTCAACACAGTGAGTTCAGAGAGGTTAACTGACTTGCCCCAAATAGAAGCGGCAGAGCCAGGAAAATCCCCAAATCCACACGACCCAAAGCCCGTGCCCCATCACACAGGACACTACTGCCCAGAGCAGGAGCCCCACAGAACCTGCTGCATCTTCTCCTACAGAGTACAAGATGAAGTCCAGGATGGCCACCCACCCCTGGCACTAGCTTTCAGGAAAGTGAAAGGATTCAATCCCAAACACACAGGAATCATAGAGCATCCCTGATTTTAAAACTGGAGTTAATCAAGAGAATCATCCAAAAGCAAACAAACAAAACTATAAGGGTTGGTGAAAAAATGTTTAAGTCTAAATGTTGTTCAGATCCACAGAGACCTCTGCTAAGTACCTTCGGGATATTTAACTAATCCTGAAGCATACATTTCAAATCACAGAATAAGAACAGAAGAGCAATAACAGGTTTTCCATACCAGTTCCACTCTAATTTGGATCTCTTAGTGACCCAGGATTTCAGCACAGACACCGTGGAATCTTCTTTTTATTTACTATTTAGAAAGGAACTCTCCTTGGGAGCCTGGGTGGCTCAGTTGGTTGAGTGACTGCCTTCGGCTCAGGTCATGATCCTGGAGTTCCGGGATCGAGTCCCACATCGGGCTCCCTGCTCAGCGGGGAGTCTGCTTCTCCCTCTGACCCTCCCCCATCTCATGTGCTCTCTCTCTCAAATAAATAAAATCTTTAAAAAAAGAAAAGAAAAGAAAGGAACTCCCCTTTATTTTTTGTCAGAGCCAAAATTCAAGAAACACTCTCTGAATCCCATAGAACCCTGAGAGGTGTTCCAGAGATCTGTGACAGGGTTCTACTGTATGGGCGGGTTTCCCAAGACATCGGTTTCTGTCACACGAACACATCTTAGAAACGCCCAATCCCTTGGGCGCCTGGGTGGCTCAGTTGGTTAAGCGACTGCCTTCGGCTCAGGTCATGATCCTGGAGTCCCGGGATCGAGTCCCGCATCGGGCTCCCTGCTCGGCGGGGAGTCTGCTTCTCCCTCTGACCCTCCCCCCTCTCATGTTCTCTGTCTCTCATTCTCTCTCTCTCAAATAAATAAATAAAATCTTTAAAAAAAAAAAAAAAAAGAAAGAAACACCCAATGCCGCTCTTCCACCTGCACCTCCACACTCCCACTCCCCACACAGCACCCAAAGTGCTCACAAATCACGAGGACTGCTTCAGCAGGCGGACAAGGCAGGCCTTCCTCCAAGAACACAGACAGGCTTCCCCTGGTCAGTGTTGCCAAGCATCCTTTCTCCTGAAGTGACCCCTGTCTCGGACAGAGGAGATGCCTACCTGCTGCATCAATTCAGCTGCTTCGTCATCCCCGTTGCCCACACCAGGATTCTTTCGCACCACACCCGGGCCAGCCTTAGGGGTTGCAGTAGTTCTGTGTGTTGCAATGGGCCTCTGTGGAGCTGAGAGAGGAGCAGAGCTTTTTTTAAGAGGAGATACTTCAAGACAAAAAAACCCACCAGACAAGAGGAGGCTGTGACCAACTGCCCGCCACATCAGTGCAGTGAAGGGACCCAACGTAGAGAGCCCAGCATGCAAGACAGCACTCCCGTGTTTGCCCGAAGTGGTTTTTATGGCAGCGGAGTTAAGTACCAATTTTAGCCACCATCTTTTGTGCTGGGAAGGAGTCCCTCTGTGAGGTCTTTTTTCTGCTGGGGTAAAGAGGACTATCATCTGAAAGAGACACAATCATTCTGGTGCAATCTACCTTAACCTAACTCCAACCAAATCCACAAAGAGGGCAACTTCATGGAGCAAAGGCAAACTTCATGCCAGGAGTGGGCTCACAGTCCCAGCTGCTGCCGGGTACCCAACGTTTCCCATCTGGAAGGTAAGATGCCCCCCATCTTAGAACCTCAAACTCCTTGGCTTAGGAAGAGGAGGATGGTAGAAACTGCTCTTATCACTCATTACCTCAAAACCCGCATCTTACTCACCTTTTAGAAGGTGGTTAGGAGGGTTAGGAGAGGAAAGCAGCGCCCTGACTAGGACTTACAAACTTCTCTATGAGTAGAGCCAAAAGCTGATAAAGTTAAGGAAAGAGTAATAAAATTAAAACAAGAATAATCAAGAACGGGCTACCTTGAGGTGTATTTATCATTTGTGACTTCAATCATTTATTTAGCAATCATTTTGTAAAACTACATGATGCCAGGCTCAGAAATATCTGACCTTCCTGACACCCCAAAATGTTCAATAACCATAAGGCCTTTCACCCACAGGCATAGGCACTTCCTCTGGACGATCTCTAGTATATGTTTATCCCCAAGATCAAATGCTTACTGCAAGTCTCCACTTGCCTGTTACCAGCATCTACACAGATTCCCCATTCTAGGAAGCTAAGCACTCAGTATTTGGAGAAATCAGAACCCTCATACACTCTGCTGATGAGAATATAAAAACAGTGCAGCCACTCTGGAGAAGAGTCAGGTGGTTCTGTAAAACGTTAAACAGAGGAACCATACGACCCAAGAATTGTGCCCCACAAATGTATACCTTTGGATTTATACCCAAGAGAAATGAAAACATAGGCCCACACAGAAACTTGTATAGGAATATTCAAAGCAGCATTATTCCTAACAGCTCAAGAGGGGAAATAACCCAAGTGATCATCAACTGATGAATAAATAAAATGTGGGGGCACCTGGGTGGCTCAGCCAGTTAAGCGTCCACATCTTGATTTCAGCTCAGGTCATGATCTCAGGGTTGTGAGAGTGAGCCCTCCATCAGGCTCCGCACTGGGCATGGAGTCTGCTGAAGATTCTTTCTCTCCCTCTCCCTCTGCCCCCCCATAAAAAATTAAAATAAAATGTGGTATAGCCATACAATGGAGTATTACTCAGCCATTAAAAAAATGAAGTACTGACAAGTGCTAAAACATGGATGAACTTTGAAAACATTACACTAAATGAATGAAAGCCAGACACAAAGACCACATATTCTATGACCCCATTTGTGTGAAACATTCAGAATAGGTAAATCCACAGACAAAGTGGATTAGTGGTTGCCTGGGGTTGAGGGGAAGAGGAAGAGCTGGGGGAAAATGCGAAGTGACCACTATGGGACACATATGAGATTTCTTTTAGGGAGTAATAAAAACATTCTAAAACTGGTTGTGGTGATAGTTGAACGTATCTGTGAATACACTAAAAAGAATTCAACTGTACATTCTAAATGAGTGAACTGTACGGCAAGTGAATCCTATCACATACACAATATCTCAATAAAGCTATGAAAATTAAAAAGTACACAATGTCCCTCTCTACCTAGCAGATGGATCAGCCTCTTCTAAAGGTACCATGGGACCCTGAGGTGCCTGGGTGGCTCAGTCGTTAAGCGTCTGCCTTCGGCTCAGGTCATGATCCCAGGGTCCTGGGATCGAGCCCCCATCGGGCTCCCTGCTCCGCAGGAAGCCTGCTTCTCCCTCTCCCACTCCCCCTGCTTGTGTTCCCTCTCTCGCTGTCTCTGTCAAATAAATAAA